ATGTGCTGAGGTTTTGACCCGTTGACACGTTTCACATGTACGCACGTTTGTGCGCACCCATCTGTACAACTTGGGTAACCAATACGCCTGGATAACTGGGCTATAGGTCTTCTCACGACCTAGATGATCTCTCGAAGCAATTTCATGTGACTCACAGATGATACGATACTTTAAGTCCTTATCATGAGGAACAGAGATGCGAGGAGCATCCTCGACACCCGTGCAATAGCGCAAAAATCCACCATCGATGACATATCGATGTAGGCTAGCACGTAAACGTGCCGACAATTTGATGTCCGAGTGTTCAAACTCCTCGCTTCCAAGAGCATGTAGCAATTTTACACATTGCTCATCACGTGTATATGACACACGAATTGGATACCCAATGTATGACGACAAAAGCGTAACATGAGCGAGCTCATAGTTAGGTCTGCTCGACAACGCATCAGCAAAAGCATTCTGCTTATCCGGCTTTACTTCACTTCGAACTTGCGTTCAGCAAAGAATGAAAGCCTACGGGCCATACACTGTGAGAGGTGAGGCGACTGTGTCGCAGTGCGTAAAGACGCATGATCTGTGAAGATAATGAAAGGCTTCATCCAAGAAGATGGACTCTGAACTTAACAAGAGCAGATTCCATAGCGAGTAACTCTTTGTCCTGAACTAAATAGATCTTCTATGCAGCATTTAGCTGACGGGATTCATACGCAATGACGCGCTCATGTCCATCGACATCTGTCTGCAATAATGCACAACCAAACTTACATCAGAAACGTCACAGACGACGCTGAATGGCCACTCAACATCAGGCCGCCAAGCCAAAAATGTAGCACGAAGGATGCTGTCCTTTATAGCTTCATAAAATCAAGCATGGACTGCGTCCCAACACCAAAATGCATCTTTTTTCAGGAGATCGGTTAATGGCTTTGCCATGTCAGCATAGTTTGCACTATGCTTGTGAGAGTAATAAGCAAAGCCGAGCCATTTACGCAAGTCCTTTTGGTTCGACGGAACCGGCAAGTAAGCAATTGTCGTTACCTTAGCGGGATCCGCTTTAAGGCCATGCTTTCAACTAACCACCCGAAAAAGGGAATCAATTTCGCACCGAAGATGCATTTCGATGCATTTGCATACAGCTTGTTCGTACGCATGCACTCGAGCACTTCTCGTAAATAGTCAATGTGATTGTCCACATCTGACCTACCATAGTCTGCATGGCTATGGACAAAGATGTCATCGAAATAGCTATGTGCATATCCACGGTGAGGTCGGAACAATTGCGTCACAAGGCAGTGAAATGTAGCCGGGGCATAAGATAGCCCTTGAGGCATAACAAGCCACTCCAAAAGCATACCGCTTGGAGTACTAACCGCTGTAAGCGGATTACCGCTCACTCGCACGAGCAATTGATACTACTAATCGACCAAATTTAATGTACTGGACATAGTGCAACCTACTACAGCGTTCATCATTTCTAAAAATAGGCGTCCGTGCCGGTACATTGGATGCGTTGTAAGCATGCACAATGCGCCACTTGCCATTTGGCTTTCCGACACGAAATTTCGGTGTCGAGTGCGGAGACTTGATCTCACGCACTATGACAGCCTCGTTCTCGTCAATGACGTCACGCTTCGCCTCTAATAGGGGCCGTTGCCGTGTCACACAGTATTTGATCCCAGGAACCAGGTCAGTTCCATGACGTACGCCTCGATCAGGAGGCAGAATGAAATGTGGATCGTGACACACTACATCCTGAAACCCCTTAACCAAAGAATTAAATGAGCCTCTAGGATCTTCCAAGATCGACGACCCACTTCGAGCACGCAAGGCCGCCTTTGTGTTCTCCAAGACAGCTTCATCAAGAAGTGACGACGCGTTCAACTCACTATCGGATCTAATGACCACCACTTCATATAAGTCACCTGACTTCAAGGTCAGTCCAAACCCATGGACAGACATTTCGTCTGGATCTGGCAGAGAATTCAGTGAGGGTAGAATCTCAAGACTCGCTGACCCATCTACTTCACTGGTCACTCTATTAACGATTGTATGTAGCTTTTCTCTAGTTTCACTCAGTAACATAACAGAAGCCTTGTGTTGCATAACAGCAAACTGGCGTCGCTGACGTCTCTGTGACGAGACTGAACGTCTTAAAGAGACTGGAGTTTTCTCTTTTCCAAGATTGACATCCTCATCCTTGACGTGCTCTGTACAAGAGCCGATGTCATTACTGACATAAGGGACTATACCGCCCCCAATGTTTCGAACTGCATAAACCATAAGTTGCTTATTACCAGAGCCGGTGCCGTAACCAACATCATGGACTTTACCGCCCCCAAGGTGAAAACTGCGTCAACCTTAATTTGTTCGATGCCAGAGCCAATTTCATTACCGAAATCTAGAACCACGTTGTTTCTTAGGTGACAAACTACATCAACCTTAACTTAATCTATATCAGATCCGATGTCATTACCAACATATGGTGATGAGTCACTTCCAGTGAGATCACCACCCAGTGGGTACTTACGTGCCACTTCACGCTCATCAAATGGACCTCCTCCTTGATGACTTGGTGTTTTACCAACAATGTCTGGACTGACATCCATTATGTCGAGATAACGGCCAACATATATCCGTGGGTACTGACGTGTCACTCCACGCTCTTTGGATTAGTTCAAACCATTGTGACTTGGCTCTAGGCCAAAAATGCATTCAGCATTTAGTGATTCGTTACTACAACAATTATCACTCGACGGAGTACGTGCTGTGTCACTAGAAATCTGCAAGCTTGGCTCGTAACTAAAGTTTTTGACATCGTCAACTTCATGAGTTCAGCCATACTGATTTCCAGCACACTGACTGTCTCAGTACGTGGCCCGCGTCAATGCTCAACGAATTCAGTCATACTGATGTCCAGCACACTGACTGTCTCAGTCCCTGGCCCGTGCCAATACTTCTGTTTCCCAGCAGAGACGGACCCATGACTCTCCGAAACTTCATTAGAGACGGTGCGAGTTGCACCTAAGGTCTTTGACCACCAATAAATCCATGGCTCATGGCATTCTATCCAATCCATACCAAGGAGGAGATCATACCTTAAATCCAAGTCGAGGACGGGACAGCTTTCAAAAATGTAAAGTTCAAAAACTTAGCAACCAAGATCACGGGAACTTTGGGCACCTTGACTAATGCACCTGTCGCCAAGCGAACAGTGATAGTCTCAATCTCTCGCGCTTTCCTCGCCCCGGCATACTACTGACCCCCTTCCAGGAAACAACGTCGGACATAATCTCCCGACGCCCCGGAGTCGATCAATATCGAGCAAGGCTTATCAAAGCCCTTCACCGTTGCTTTCGCAACTGACAAGCCTGGCTTGCGCTCATGCTTCGTGACATTGCTCACGAATTCACTAGGGTCTAGGACCTGTTCTCCATCACCTTGCAGAGGTACAAAAAAGCCTATATCTTCCCAAGCAGGGCGCCCCGCGCCTACCGGGGCTTGACTTTATCCCAAGCCTTATCACCTAGATGGTTAGTGACGGGAGGTCGGCTCAAATGAGCCTGTACGGTCCTTCTCATAGGACGACAGAAGCAAAGATGTTTGATGTTTCCGCACGTAAAACAGCTACGGGTGTTCGAACGCTGCTCGACAGTGTATAGATCAGCATCGTCTCTCTCAGCGAGACTAAGATCCATGAGGTCTTCCCGATACTTAAGATGAGAATAGCTCGACGAGTTCGGTTGGAACCCGTGAGTCACATAACGGGCAGCTTTAAAGATGAACTATGAGTTCAATGCTTTGTCTACTGCATCATCAAATGTCAAGGGTTGGGCACGGAACACTTCCGTTATGGCAACGCCAGTTCGAAGACCCTCCATAAAGATACTTACCAAAACCGTCTTAGGTAAAGGGTTAAGCTGCATAGAAGCAATGAGAGTTCGCAACTCCTGTACAGAATCGAAACTAAGTCCTTCTTACCCTGGTGGGTTGACAGGAAGCGTGATCGCACGCGATGTGCCTCATTAGGCGAGGCAAACACCCGAGATAGTAGCTGTTTTAGCATGTCCTAGGTGGGAAAAGCCTCGTCTATAAAGGTGCCAGAAATGAATGCCCACTCCCCGGCTCGCCCATTCAACTTCGATAGGGCCACGCCTACCTTTTGTTGCTCTGACCGCAGCAGAGCCGAGCTGATGGCAATCTCCGTCTTTCAAACCCACAAAAAAGATGTAACCCCCTTTACCCTCAAAAGCATTGACACTTTAGACCAGAGGGCGAGGCCTTGACTCGGTGTCTGATACTGAAACATACTGAGTGAGTATGGCAGATGCCAAATGGTCATGGACCTGTCCGATCAACGTGGACTCAAACTTCGAGAAGGCCTCGAGACGTGCACGAAGTGCGTCCGGGCCTTGCGCCATTATAGGAGCCACTTTCTCGTGCCCGATCAACGCCTTGATCAACGTTACAGTCAGCGAATGCCAGAAAGCTCACTCTGGCGTCTCAGGATGCATGTAACGGGATTGCACGGAGGTTATTGAACCGGTTGTGTTCTGTGTCCACACCAAGTAAAGATAGGAGAATCTAAGTGGTACAGTATTGGTACCATGTACTTTCGGTAATATCACACCTTATCGGGTAGGGAAAAAGGGATACGACCTAAGTCATAGGATCGCAGTGTAGAAGTCAGTCAGACAATGTTTGCATGGTTTTATTACCGTAGCTGAAGAATAAATAAAGCTCAGTTCCCATTTTGAATCGTTGAACACAAGTGCCTAGTAAAGGCATAGTGTGTTGTTAAGAGCATTAGCCTTGTAAAGGCGCTTACTCTTGTTTAACTAGTAGCGACTAGTTAGTGTGTAATTCAGTGAATCGTAATGCCTTTGGAACCGAAATTGTTTGGCTTGTACGCTTGAACGACTGTACGTCGTTGTTAGCTCGTCATCACTAGGAGACTCCTTGAGTCTAAGACTTCTTTTTAAATGGAGCGCTCAGTAGCTCTGCTACACTTCCTTAGGAACCATACACTGGCCATTTAAGTAGCTTGGAAGGTTGACAAGACAGTCGCTGACTGCAACGTCGCCTTGCACAGGACATCGATCGCCTGCGGGCTGGTCGCCGTCACCACTACAACTTGGACCGGAAATGCAGAAAGTGGCATCACCTGCGACGCTTATAGGCGTGCAGTCGTTCTCTTCAATCTCTGAAGTGAGACCCACGCTGTCGCCTTCCGTACTCGCTCCTGACTTAATGTGTGTTGTCGGGTCGTCTCCACACCAAATCGTACGCGTACACCCTTTGTCGGAACTCGAGACACTTGTGCCAGTGTTTACAGCTGCGACCTCCCGTATATCGTCTTCCCACACACACACCTCCAGCTCGCGTCGTCAGCTTTGATACAGACGGTATCACTTGTGGCCACACTCGCACCGTTGCGAAATCTTTTCATAGTATCCAAACAGTTGGCAACACCGATGGCATCTTTCAATGGGCAATTGTACCCCTTTGGCTGGTCACCGCTGCCACCGCAGACACTGCCTTCGACACGGTAGATAGCGTCACCGTTGACACTGACATTCGTGTAGTCCATGCTACGAATCTCAGGCTTAGAGCCGCGAATGTCGACATCAAAGTTGATCAACAAGTTGCTACCAAGAACGTTAATCAAATCGCTGCTGTACGTCGCTTGCTGGTTCATGACTCTGATTAGTCGCGGTTGTGTAGGTGCTGCAAAGTGTCGACTTGGGTGTATCCTGGCAAAAGATAAGATGATGCATGTAGAAGTTCGAGGTAATGCATATCCACTTGGGTGTGACGGTTCCGCCGCCCGTCGCGGTAAACGTCGCCATGAGATTATACGGCACTTCTACCAGCTAAAAGAGTTCCAAGAAAGCCAACGTCGCATTTACTTGTCCCCTATTGCATCACCACATCGCACACACATTGAAGCTAGTAAACGGTTGACGGTATATTAGAGTTGCACAAGTTGCAGGATAGTGGTCGCGAGTCGCACAAGTTGCAGGATAGTGGTCGTGAGTCAGCTTACGACGGCACGATGCACCATCTATTTGTGGCAGATCCATGAAATAAGTGCAGAAGTGTGTTTAAATAGTGGCTGATCGATACTGAAACGAAAGCCGCAGTAATTCAGTACTCTAATCAGATTGGATACGTCTCATCTTCACCGTGATTTGCTAGGGTAGAAAGCTACCTTATTCGGATACCATATACTCGCCACGGCTTTATAAAGCTCAGTAGTCTGCAACATCAAGCGAAAAGAGCTAGTAAAGAGACGGGAAGTGTACCCTGTCGAATGACTTCGTGTAGATGCATCTTCATCTGCAACTGATCTCTTACTTGTGCATGCTTTAGCATAGCATGCCCTTGATGAATTTCTGAAGTGGAGACACCACGTTGCATGACTATTGTAATCCATCTGAGGAATGTGCTGTATGACTTTCATCCACGCTGTCAAACTACATCACTTTGTATGTCGCAGTCTTCCTCACTAGTAATCGACTCTTTGTACGCCGTGCTTTCATCAATAGCATTGATCCACTTCATCATGTCTAGAAGGTCTGATCTCCAAAGCCCGAGGCTTCGATTCTTCTAGCATGGTATGGGTGAAGATGCGACCGTCAAAAACTCATGATACGACCAGTGATACCACAAAAGATGCGAGAGTTGCCTGAATCTGCAACTGCATCATTGCGAGCTCGAAGGATGGAGCTATCAGTGAGTGTGCGCAAGGTTGAATACCGAACTTTTAAATCCTACTTATCTGTGTGTGTGTCGGTAAAGAACGTGGTTAGTTGTATCTTACACGTGCTGCGTGCGATATAGCCTGTCCCCCTCACAGGTATCGGTATATCCGAAGTCACTCTTTGGCTAGATCACTGATGTGACACGCGAATATGATTGGCATAAAATCGTTCAAAGGTGAATATGACCACATTAGCAAATGCTGAACGCTCATACGCAAAGGCCGGTCGCGTTGTCCTGGCCAACTGTACTCGGTAAATACAGACCTCGTAAGCATCATGCTCCTTCTACAGTAACTGCTGTTGCATTTTGTTTTGCGACTTGATTAAAGTTCTCCGAACTGCATTACTTGTATCGAAGGGCGAGCTCCAGAGCTTGCTCCCCTATCTTTATAGATACAAGCGTTTATTGTACATCGGGCTGCCGACCTCGGATAGCGACTGAAGCATACAGTATCACACTAAGCACACGTCTTCCTCTTTGCCAGCTTAAGACTGCCGCGAGGGCTGATGAACAAGTCATATCCAACGTGCACTTTCACGCGCATCGACCAAATGTTCTGAGACAGCCGCTGTCTACTGTGGCGATTCATCACTAGTGGCGCTTCTGTGGCATGTGACCACTGAGCGCCACGGTGGCCACTCCAATATCAGTGGCTGCCCTTTCAGATAGCTCTTCAAGTATCCGAACAGACACTGACAACGGATACCAATTGAGCGCAAGTCGGTAGCGTTGGCCATGTGACAAAGGTGTCCATCAAGACGGAGCCATCACAAAACCCGTTATCACTTCGAGTCGGAATGACTAAATACAGACAATGGCATACCTGTGTTCCGGCGCAGACATCGATATTGTGTATGATGAGCTAGATTCTGTATGTCGAGGGTGAAACAAGGGGGTGCATACGGTAGGCCATCTGATGCTTTCCCAAACTACGTCGAATATCAATATGTTAGAGCCCATACTGGCGGAGGAGCACATTCATGTATCCTTGTGAGGAGACCACGACACTGAACTCCAAACGATATTGAGACGGCACTAGACCACTTCACGCGATTGAGTTTCGAGTTTCTGTAAGGCGATATGAAACACACCATCAAAATGAGGATCCTGCTTTTTGCGGCAGAAAGCTTGACACGAGTATGAGGTCCGCGTCTACCCTCACTGCCATGAAGTATAAAGTGCACCTCAAATGCTATCGAGAAACGCGTATCAGCACATGTTTGGTAAAAGACGAATCATCCGTACAAGAGGAAAGGGTCCTAGAAATTCGCACGATGCAAGGAACACGCCAACCCATCCAAGGATGAACAAAGTTTTGTACTCAAGCGGGACAGGAAAAGTCAGACGTGTCAGTGTAAAGTAGAGACAGTGAGGTCTTCGCGCTGATCCAATGATCTGGCATCAATTCTATACGACAGTAAGTCAAGAAACGTTTGTGTTTCGTCGTGCAGTTCTTGACGCTTGTATGATGTCAATAGAGTCAGTAGTCCAGCCACAATGCCGAATGCATGTCCTCATCTCACAAGCGCGTTTCCGCTTTTAAGAAGCTGTTCGAGTTCAGAGCGTTCTTACAATCCAATGATGAGCAGCAGAAGAGGTTTAAATTACTCGCAGCTAGCTTCCAGCTCATGCACGTATGAAAGCAGGTTCGTGTGTTTTCCAGATGAAGCGCTAGGCGAAGCGGTATATGAGTTTAGGAGAGCTCAACCACACATTGTAACAGCTGAAGGACCTGACGAGAAGCCACATACTTGCAGTCAAATGAAAACGTACTGAATAAGCCGTTTATCGTCGTTGCGATCGCAACACGAGATGGAATTCGCTGCTGGATTGTCGTACTTACCAACAGATAATCTTGCATTTCGTGAGTTAAAATGTCTTCGCGACGTGCTACGTGTACGATCGTCCCGACTTGATCGGGAACGAAAGGTGTACAGAGAACAAGAGTAAAATGCGTGTAAGACCCTTGTTCATGTAGCAATTGGTAAGCACTTCGCTACATTCACGTGGCGTACAGTCTGCCTAAGACCTTACGGAAACATAACGCCGTCGCCACGCTGACGCTGACGAAGCAAGGCATATCAGTTGATCTCCGTACAGTTGTAAGGTCGCAACGGACGTTAGTAGCCAGAATCATGATGATAACTCAATGAGTACCTCGTTTTGGTTGACAGCGAGTCGTGTCGATAGATTAAGCGTGAGGTCTCCTAAGCTGCTCAAATGTTCCAGGTGAATTGCCGTCATCGACCTGTTTGAACATGCTATGATCAACCTACTTCGCCGTAAGCAAGAAGATGACGTATACTGAACGAAAATACCGTGCGTGCAGCGAGTACCGATCAGCTTTCGCTCGAGGTATCTGTAGATCGCACGGTATCTCAACTAATGATGCACTAGACCGTGACAGTCCTATACACAGAAGTCAAGCTCATGCATTGCGAGCATCGGGTACCTCAAACCAGAATATCGTGCTCTCGAACCTTGGGTGCTACTTGATCTTCTCTGCAAAGACCGTGATCTCATGATATCCTTCCTTTACCTAGTGCTAGGCAATCAACAGGCCTGTCAGTAGTGGAGACAGAGCATACTTACCTGCATCCGATCCACAGACCAGCCAATATGCTGTAAAAAGATCTGGAGGGAGTATGCTTTGCTTACCACATTGATGTCCTTTTTCGATTAATAGACGACCAAAATGTTTGCTGCGTTGCGCAGCTCCACCAGTTATGTGTCCGCGTAAACACTGTATCAACTATACCGCATCTACCATTTTCTTATCAGGTGCATCTTAGTTAAAGTGAAACGCCATAGTAGTACGAAGACAGAAAGCCGCGTACAGTCGCACCAGGCAATATAGAGCGAAGACTTGCTGCCATCAGCAAGTGGGAGTTTTTGGACCATAAAGCTTCACCATTGAGAAGACGCAAAGCAATCCAGGTGTAGTGGAAACCGGAATGCCAAATAGGTTTCCGGTGCAAGAACTATCAGCCCTATCATCCTGGACACGCGACATACTCTTCCTCGTAATCTATCAGCAGTTCTTAGTTTACGACAGGTCTTTTACCTGCTTTACCGCCAAGTTCTTGATGTTATTTTTCAGTGCAGACCAAATGTGGTGCGTGCACAGCATTAGCTGCATCATTCGTGCTACCATCACGGAGGCCAATAAATTTGTTCTATCAACAAGGCAAATGCTAAATGGCTGGGCTTTTTTTTTATTCGGCTGGGTCATTTAAAATCTTCAGGAATATCTTATAGTAACTCAGAAGCATGCCTAACCTTGTCGATCCTATCTATTCATTTTACTGGCACTAAGGTTGGGGAGCGAGCTCTTGAGCTCGCCCTTCGATACAAGTCATCCGTTTTGGAGAACTTTTATCAAGTCGCAAAACAAAATGCAACAGCAGTTACTGTAGAAGGAGTATGATGCTGTTGAGGTCTGTATTTACCGAGTACAGTTGGCCAGGACAACGCGACTGGCCTTTGCGTGTGAGCGGTTAGCATTTGCTAATGTGGTCATATTCACCTATGAACGATTTTATGCCAATCATATTCGCGCGTCAAAAAAGTGATCTAGCCAAAGAGTGACTTCGGATACACCGATACCCATGAGGGGGACAGGCTAGATCGCACGTAGCACACGTAAGGTACACCTAACCGCGTTATTCACAGGCACACACGATTAAGTAGGATTTAAAAGTTTGGCATTCAACCTTGCGCACACTCACTAATAGCTTCACCCATCGGGCTCGCAATAAATCGCATGTCCATACAAAGCTCATGATGACGAGAGTGTGCAAAACAGGCTAGTACCCCTTTCAGCTGTTTCTTTTTCTGTTTGCGTTACAACCCAAAAAAATATGTCGCTTTTTGACGCCATCGTAGCTACACAGTCAATAGGTCCACCAAACATGATGCGTCGGCGCGATCGCG